AAGAGAACGCTAGTTCTTTTTTTTCTCTTATTTTTTCCCCCCCCCCCCCCCCCCCCCCCCCCCCCCCCCCCTCCCTCCCACTCCCTCACAAATAACGCTTTGGAGTTTTTAATTGAACTTGATGATGACTTCGCAAGATTTACAGCTTCTGAATTGTTAGTGTCCCGATCCAGGCGGCGAGGGTTCAGGGACTTTTTTTCCTTCTGTTTTTCTGCTGTTGATTAATAGCTGGAACAGCTGTTGTGATATATCAGAAATACAACGCCGTGGATTTAGTTTTTTTCTTTTTTTATCCTCCACAAACTGAGGGGGTTCTCACTGGATCTTTATATTTTGTCATCCTGGCTGATGGAAAGAAAGTCACACAGAGCTGCCTTATTGAAATGCGATTTGTTAAAGAAAGCAATGTGAGAATGCAGTGTGAAGTACGATTAAAACACACTGTTCTTGGTGATGCCTTGCGAGCAGACAATTGCATTTTAACCGTGCTTTTCCATCATCTAGCGAAAGTCACTCCTCAGTGCCCCATCAACACACTAAGATTGTATGTATGATGATACTCAAAAACAATATGAGCCTCAGGGAGGAAGCTTTACGAAAAACCGTCTAGATGGGAGAAAGTCGGTGAAAGTTAGTCAGGTTTTTTTCGGTCAAGCCACAATCAAACATGATACTTACTGTCCAGCGAGAGCATGGAGTCAAAGATCTTGCACTGCACCTGTCCTGTGCTCTGCGAGGCGCAGCTCATCCACAGACCCTCGTACAGACCCACGGCGGTGATGATGGCGTCGCCGGCATACGACGACTGCTTCCACTGGGGCAAGGCGGTGGTGGAGATGATGCCGATCCAGCCACCCAATGCCAGGAAGTAACCCAACAACTGGAGACCTGAGTTGGCCATCCTTTTTCTTTTTTAAATCTCTCTTTTAGCTATGTCCCTCTAACTTCTGTCTGTACCTCCCTGTTTTCTGCTGGCGTCAGCTCTTTGTTCCAGGGGTGACCCTGGCGTGTCGCCCTTTCTTTGAGCAGTCCCCGCAGACACACCTGTTGCGATCCTGTCACTCGTCTCACTTTTCTCTATCTGGTCACTCTGAGCATCTATGTTCTGCCTCTCGGCTTTAACTCTCATCTGTGGAACTCCCCCTCTTTCTCCTCGTCTCTTAACTCTTTTCTATCTATTTTTTTTTAGCTCTTGAGCTCTCCACGTCAGTTGGGACGATTAGTCGAATGTCTTCCCTCGGGACTTTTCCTGTCGGATTCCTTGATGTCTCTGGGACTCGGTCAGAGTGGAAGAAAGCCTTTTCTGGTGGTCAGCGGTTCAGTTCATCAAGCATCGTCGCTGGGCTGCCTCACTCTCTGCATGGCTTCTCTCACTCTCTCTCTCTCTCTCTCCTCTCTCTCTCTCTCTCTCTCTCTCTCTCTCTCTCTCTCTCTCTCTC